AGGGTTTACTTTGCAATTGCCTGGCTGGAATCTGTGTTTTCTTTCAAAACCACCTTCCAGTAGTTTTCCGTTCACTTTGTTTTTTGCTGAGAGACGGGATGTGGTTTCAGAATTCAAGAGGAGTTTTAGTAGCGTTTCAGGGAAAATCTCCCTAGCCTCCTCACCCTGTGAGTTTCCCTTCCGGACTCCCCATATCACACAGAATAAAGCTTTCCAAATTTCTCTTCGGCCTGCAAACCGCTTTTCAAAGTAAATGGGCAGTCTCTAACACCGGAAGGAACTGGAGGAACCGGAACTGCAAAGGAACGAGAGGAACCGGAACTGCAAGGCTTGGGCGAGGCAGGAACTCACCGGGAGTGGGGCTGGGGACCGCTCAGACAATACGGGCAAAAGAGGAATGAGTGGATCAGGCAAAACTGTGATGAGCACCCAGGAGCTCCACCAGTTACTTCTTACATACAAATGAATCTGTCTGCTGGCCCCTGCTCCCAATTCTGGATCCTAGTCTCCACCACTGAACTCAGAACTCAAACACATTCCTAAGGTTCACCTTAAATCCACTGCTGCATAGCTCTCTTAATAACAGCTGGGGGCGCCTGAGTGGCTCAGTTGGTTGGGCATCTGACTCTGGATTTTGGCTCAGGTCATGATCTCAGGGTCACAGAATCAAACCCCATGCCGAGCTCCACGCTCAACTCAGAGTCTGCTTGAGATTCTCTCTCCTCCTCTGCCTCTGCCCCTCCCCCTGCTTGCACTCTCTTAATTAATTAGTTAATTAAATCTTAAAAAGAAAAAAGCTGACAGTGACTCTGGGTTTTCCATATTTTTGTGTACAAGGTCATGTGTTCCTTGATGCAAGTACTACCTTTTTGTCCTTTTTCTATTCCTACCACATGGTACCTAGGGCTCTTTAGCCATTTATAGACTAACCATTGATTGGTTTTTCAGAGATGCAGGTATATTCCAGGAAGAAGGCAATGAAAAAACAGAGAGAGAGAGAGACATGATTAATGACCTAATGATCTCTAACAGATGGAAGCATTTTTGGCTGTTGGAGCTAGGGCAATCCATAGCCAATGGTACTGGAATTATGCTAAGGAATTTAAGTCCCAAAAGAAAACTTACTCATACTACAATGTACTGGTCCTAGCAGAACAGGTTTCAAGGTACAAGTGTTTGTTCTTTCTTGCCAGTGTAAGAAATAGAAACAAAAAATAATGCCCCCCCCCAAAGTTGTCCTGCCCTCATCCCTAGAATATATTCTCTTTCCATATATAGTTAAGAATACAGACCTTGGGGGTGCCGGTGCCTGGGTGGCTCACTGGGTTAAAGCCTCTGCCTTTGGCTCAGGTCATGATGCCAGGGTCCTGGGATCGAGCCCCGAATTGGGCTCTCGTTCCACGGGGAATCTGCTTCTTCCTCTCTCTCTCTCTCTCTGCCTGCCTCTCTGCCTACTTGTGATCTCTGTCTGTCAAATAAATAAATAAAATCTACAAAAAAAAAAGAAAGAAAGAAAAAGGACCTTGAAATGGGGAGGTAATTGTGAATTATCCAAGGGCGGGGTGGGGGGGGTCCTAATCTAATCACGTAAGCCCTTAAAAGCAAAAAATCTTTCCCAACCTTAGCCAGTGAAGAAAGATGTGACAGTGGAAGAAAGATCAGAGAAATGCAACATGGGTGGCTTGAAGACAAGGAAGAGGGCCACGAGCCAAGGAATGCAGACCTCTAGATGCTGAGAGAAGCAAAGAAACAGATTCCCCCTGAGGGGCCTCCAGAGAGGAACCCAGTCCTGCTCACACCTTAATTGTAGCTCAGACTTCTAAGCTTATGAAACTGTAATATAACAAATTTGTGATGTTTTAAGTCACCTATAATTTGTTAATGGTAGTGATAGAAAATTAATACAAAAGGCAATCCTCGTTTTCAGCAGGCCCTGTAAAATGGTGAGTGGGAATTTACCGCCAGACCCCCAAACCAGAGAGGTGTCTTACTCTGGCTGAAACAGTCTCTTCAGGCCCCTTTCCCCCTTTGCCACTTGGCTGACTTGGTCATCTTTCAAGATTCTGCACCAACTTTCTCTCCTGTGAAAAGTCTTAGTTTTACCAATATAGGCTATAAATTTCCCAGATGTGAGGCCCATGTTATATTCTTGGTGAATGTTCGTTTAAATGATGGACTTAAGTATCATTTGATGGAGTGTAAAAATAAGGCCCAGTAAAACTAATTTCTTGTCACTGCTTTTACGAAAGGAATAAGATCCCTTGCTAGGACCCACCTACATTCACATCCATGAAGTCCTACCTTATTCCTTCTCCTCCTCTCTTTGGATGGACACACACACACACACACACACACACACACAGCCTGGCAGAGTTGAATCCCAGTGACTGTTCAGAGTCAGATAAGTAAAGAATACATGTATCCCTGATGACAAGCTGTCAGGGGTCAAAGACTGAAACCAGAAAGTTGCAAGGGAAATTTCTAAGGCATGGAAAAGTTTCTTAAAATGTGGAGATTAAAGACAGAGTTAAGGTTTGAGAATGAAATAACAGAACTCAGCAGTATGCTGGTTTTAAAATATGTCTACAGATACTCCAACACTCCTTCCTTCAAAAGGTGGAAACTAATTTCCCTCCCCTTGAATATGGGCTAAAGGGAGTCCCTTCTCATGAACACAGTATGGATGACATGAACAACATGTGATCACGTCACCGAAAGTCATTACAACTTCCTTCCCTCGATCTCTCTCTTCTCTTCCCCACCCCTGACCCCCTCATTACTTGCTCTAGAGGAAGTGGTTTGCCAATGGCCACATGAGTGAACTGTCTTGGTAGAAGATTCCTAAATCTTCAGACAACTGCAGACCCAGCTTACATCTTTTTTTTTTTTAAGATTTTTATTTCTTTATTTGACAGAGAGAGAGGAGAAAGCAAGCACAAGCAGGGGGAGCAGCCAGCAGGGAAGAAGGAGGTTCCCTGCTGAGCAAGGAGCCTGATATGGGGCTCGATCTCAGGACCTTGGGATCATGACCTGAGCCAAAGGCAGAAGCTTAACGGACCGAGCCACTCAGGCACCACCCTCCCCCGCAACCAGCCCACATCTTGAAAGAAACCACTGGATGAGTCCCTGAGCCAGAACCACTCAGCTAAGTTGCTTTCAAATTTCCAAATACAGAGTCTATGAGATAATAAATGTTCGCTGTTTCCAGCCACTAAGTTTTAGAGTTATTTGTTATGCAGTAATAGATAGCCAATATACATGAGACACAATCCCTCGGGCAGAGGTTGCAGATTGGAAGTCAAGATCCTGATTCAGTCTGCAAATATATTTTCCTCAGCTCATCATGTTTTTTATGAGCCAAAATTTAAAAATCATTTAAATTCATTTAGAAATCTAGGTTTCCAGTCTCTCTCAAAGATGTGGAAATCTGGCAACACAAAGGCCTGAGCACTAGTCTGGCAGCTGTGAGTGAGAACTGAGGACCGGCCTTCTGCTCTAGGCTCTCCCAAGCTCCCCGGAGCCCCCACTAACCCCGTTAGCTATTCATCTCTACGCCACCAACACTAACAGCATGGCTTTTGTACTGCTCTTTCTCTTGTATTAGAAAAACATTTCTCATGTCTTAAACCTCTGAAAAAACTAGGAAGCAAAAGATAAACTGAAAGGGCTTATGTGTCTTAAGAAATCTGGGAGAACAGGGGTGCCCAGGTGGCTCAATTGGTTAAGCATCTGACTTTGGCTCAGGTCATGATCTCAGGGTCCTGGGAGCGAGCCCCACATTGGGCTCTCTGCTCAGTGGGAAGCCTGCTTCTCCTTATCTCCCCCTCACTCATACGTGCTCTCTCTCTCTCATATAAATAATAAAATCTTTAAAAATTAAAAAAGAAAGAAAGAAGTCTAGGAGAACACTTACTTCTCGGTGGGAGAGAAGAATCTCCCTGCACGCCTAATATGCCATGACTGAACGTCTGTATCAAATACACACAACCTAAGATTCTAGAAGCTTTGTTCATTTAGGCAAATGGACGGGCCCCCGTAAATGCATTGGGTGAAGCGGCTCTTTCTCACCTTGGGCTCTTTGAAATGGGGTGAAGGTAAGGATGATGAGTTTGCTAGACTTGGCTTTGAGCATCTTAAAAGAAGCCACCAACAGGACACTTCTCCTCTCATACTGTTTGTTGTTGAGAACATGAGAGCTATCAAATCTTCTGGTGTTGTACTAACAGTAATTGCTTAGCTTCAACTTCTTATAGCTGACTCACATCGTGTCTGACCACATCCAGATTGACTAATCAGAAATAACCTCAAGCACAACCCCTGCTTTTCCATAAATGCATATATTATTTTTCCTGATGTCTCTAGAAAATAAACACTGAACTAGAACAAGAGTCAACAAATTTCAGCACACAAGCCAAATCTGGCCCACTGCCGGCTCTAATAAATAAAGTTTTATTGGAACACAGCCACACTCGTTCATTTCCATGTTGTCCGCGGCTGCTTTTGCCCCATAGTGACTGAACTAAGTGTTATGACAGAGACCTTATGACCTGCAAGCCTAAATTTCACCATCTAGAGACACTTACGTGGCTCAGTCAGTTAAGCATCTGCCTTCAGCTCAGGTCATGATCCCAGGGTCCTGGGATGGAACCCCCAATTGGGCTCCCTGCTCAGCGGGGAGTCTGTTTCTCCCTCTGCCTGCCGCTCCCCCTGATGACATACACACTCACTCTCTCTCTCTGACAAATTAATAAATAAAATCCTCAGAAAAAAATTTAATATGTAGCTAATCTTTGAACAAGAAGGATAAAATACAAATATTTTGATAGTTAATAAACTAAGAACACATTTTTCTTCAAAGGAACACAACATGGGAAACAGTGAAGTCACCATACCCTCTCCGGAATATTTGCCTTCTAATTCCTTGTCAATAACTCTAAAGCTTGCTTTACCTTACAAAGAGACATAAATAAGACAGTGTTTTAAATTGAAAATGAACTCACAGTGGCTAGTTTCTGAACATCTTCATCAGATGCTCCCAGAGAGGCCAGGCCTATTTCTTGTGAAAACTGAGCAAACTTAGGATCCGCAAGTAGTGGAACATGTCCCAGGAGTTCGTGACATGTGTCTCTGACAAGAAAAACATTGTAAAAAAGTATTATACGAAAGGCTTTAAACTATCACCGGTAGAACAAGCTTAAAATCCTAACTGTAACCTGGATATTATAATTAATCGCTGTGACCAAATTTCATCAAGTCTAAGACTTCTTTTATCACCTTTCAACAGCTCTGACACCCAGACGCACCTCACAATCCATGACATCTTCAGTTATATGATATCCAATATCTATAATAAATAACAGCAACTATTTTCAAGGGCTTACCATATGTCAACCACACAGTAAGTTGGGGTTCTTTTTAAGATTTTATAAGAGAGAGAGAGCATGATCGGGGAGGAGAGGGACAAGCAGACTCCCTGCCAAGCAGGGAGCCCAATGCAGGACTTGACCCCAGGACCCTGGGATCATGACCCGAGCTGAAGGCAGACAACCAACCAGCTGAGCCACCCAGGCACCCCACTGTAAGTGTTTTATGACATACACTATCCCTCGTGATCCTCAAGAAAAACTTAGGAAATTAAAGTACTTTAATAGTGCAAGATCCTATAAGAAGGGGTGGGCAATCTACAGTCACAGGACAAATCAGGCCCACCACCCATTTATAAGTAAAGTTCATCGGAATACAGCCATAGCCTTTTTATTTATGTACTATCTAGGGCTCTTTTTAACTAAAACTGCAGGGTTGAATAGCTGTGACTAAGACCATATGGCCGGCAGAGCCTAAAATATTTACTAGCTCGCCCTGTGGTGATCAACCCAAAATTTGAATCCAGCTTATGGTGACTCGAAACTGTCGCTTTTAACGCTGAAGTTGCACAGCCTGCCGTGTTACACTTTGCAGACACTGGCATATAGCGGAGGATCATGTCATCATCATCAAAGTGCCTTTCCCATCAAAGAGTTTTCTGCCCATAACACAAGCAACTCCCTCGAACCTGCCCAGTGGAAAACCCTCCCAGTCCTCTGCTTTGGTTAACCTGAACTAGGAAACAACAGACACTTAGATCTGCTCTCATTTGCCCATGCTTCTATTTGGAGCCAAATGATTAGGCAAAGACAGGTACGTGTCACAGGGAAGCAAGGCAGATGCCTTCCTGAGTCACTGCCATGAATCACAAAGTGTTCCCTGATCCCGAGCTATATTGGAATGAATCCCCCTATGATTCTCTGGGAATGGATCAAGAAGCTGCAATATTTTATTTTCCTGGCAAAAAGTAATCAGCCAGGTAGTATTTGAAAGATGTTTCCTCACTTCACCTGGGCTCCTCTCAAGTGTTTCACTTCAAGTAGATGCTAGAATATACATGCCAGGGGCTGCCACTATGATTAAAAGTATGAAGTATGCAGGGTGGTTCTGTGGTTGAAGCAAATGAATGGTGGTCAAAGGCACAAGATCGATGCCCACATACAACAGATGGTATTACTCAGTCTAAACATCTTGTTCCCACCACTCAAACCACATCCCCAGCCTTGGCCAGCCACTTCACAGGTACATCGGGTAGAATGGGTAGCCAAATGAGAATGTGGAGACAGGACGCTACAAGAAATTCCCAACGTATTCCCTGTCAACTGCGTGCCAATAGCTTTCTTTTTACACAAGACTGAATGCATGGAAGAAAATACATGCTTGTTGCTCTCCAATCCTATTACTTAAGGCAGAGATTCAGACTCATTGAATTTTAGGGTAAAAAGAGAATTTAAATATTATCTGAGTCCTTCATATTAAAGATAGACAGGAAGAAAGAAAGAAAGAGAGCTAACATATTCTGAGCTCTTGTTATGTGCTGGGTACTGTACTAAATGTTCTCATATCATATCAGTAATTTATCCTTATCCACAAAAAAGTCTTACGATTCCCGTTTGATAGATGAGGAAACTATAATTCAGTAATGTAAGCATCTTTCCAAGGTCACACTCTTAATAAGAGACAGACAAGATTCAAAATCAATTTCCTCTGACTTAAAGCTGTGCTCTTCCTCTCCATTGTTTTAACTAGCAGATGTGGAGAAAATGGGAAGGGATAGGTCAGGGGGTGCCGCTTACATTGTAGGGAGAGCGTTTAACGAAGCTGGTCAGCACAAGTGAAAATGTAGTCAGTATGTTACAAGTTTCTTTTCCTGCTACTCAGTGGCCCTCAATCTTCTAAATTACTTGAGCAGTATTTTTAAAAATACCAGTGACCGGGTCCCATGTAAAACCAATTCAATCTGACTCTCAGGGACAGACCAAAGCATCTGTATTGTTTCCAGAGCTCTGAGGGTGCTAATAAGACACAGCCAAGGTAGAGACTCACTGTCATAACAGATGATACTAGGAGCTCTCCTAGAGGCTTCAAACAGCAAGGAACTGGAATGAAAGCCAAAGGTGATTTTGTAATTTTGAGCTGCCCAAATTTAATTCCACTGAAATTACATCAGAATCCTGGGGCATAATGAAAGGTGGTGAAAGAAAGTTCACTAGATAGCTAATTACTCCTCCGTGTGCATTTGATTCAGTGAAAGCATCTAATACTCTATGCTGGGAGTGGACCCCATCGATGCACTCCTGTGATGAGTTTTTTAAAAGGCCGTGCAGTCCGCACGGATGTTGGGATCACAATCAAGTGGCCCACCATGGATAAATTTGAATACCTCCATTGTAGCCTGTAATGTAAATACTAAAGCACCCCTACCCATCCAGGCAGAAAATATGACAATGATCATTCCAAAATTAGACCAGATGTCAAACTTTAGGGAAACACTGAAGACGGCGTAAAGAAAGTAGGTAAGCAGAAACTAAAATAGCAGGTATTGTGACCAAAACATATAGAACGCTTGCTATGAGCCAGGCAGTGTGCTAAGGGCTTCGTCGTGTGAGCGCAAGACAGGTCACAGCTTCCGTGGCAGTGCATTCAGGGTGCAATACCGGATTTACTTTTGAGCTTGTCAAATCCTTGAGGAAGGCTGCTGCACACAGTCTTATATCTACCTAGGTACTAACGGAATTCGAAAACGTACAGGTAGAAGGAAAAGAGAGAAAGTGGCAGTCAAAAAGGAAAAAAGAAGGAAAAGATCCAAAGACATTAAGGGGTTCATTCTCTGGAATAAAAAAGGGAGCTATCACCTAGATTTTAAGTCAAGGTGTCATTATCTGAAACCTGTAACTCACAGCCAACCTAAGAAGGTTTAATAGCATCCCAATGATAAGGTAATCCAACTATTCGTGAGAGAGGATGAAAGAAAGGAATTTGAAAGAATGAAATCATGCAATATGGCAGAATATACTGTTTCGTTAAGATTGAAAGTCTCGGGGTGCCTGGATGGCTCAAACAGTTAAGCATCCAACTCAATTTTGGCTCACATCTTGATTTCAGGGCAATGAAATCAAACCCTATCCCCGGCTCCATGTTCAGTAGGGAATCTGCTTGAGGTTCTCTCTCCTCTCTCTCTCTCTGCCCCTTCCCTCACTTCCGCCCATGCTTGCACTCTCTCTCTCTCTAAAATAAATAAGTAAATTAAAAAAAAAAAAAAAAAAAGAGGGCACCTGGATGGCTCAGTGGGTTAAGCCTCTGCCTTCAGCTCAGGTCATGATCTCAGGGTCCTGGAATCAAGCCTTGCATCAGGCTCTCTGCTCAGCAGGGAGCCTGCTTCCCTCTACCCTCCTCTCTCTGCCTGTCTCTCTGCCTACTTGAGATCTCTGTCTGTCAAATAAATAAAGAAAATCTTAAAAAAAAAAAGAATGAAAGCCTGAAGCAAGGTGTCTAATAAAATTACTGATGGAACAGGAGGGATGCCTTTCACCCTGTTATAAATAGAAATGATAGCATCTCACTAGTTTGTGTCCTCTTCTCAGCTCCATGTCCCTGCAGAGACCCTAAAAACCACCATTCAGGCTCAGCAAGTGTGTGTGCACAGCGTGGACAGTGAGCTCGCCTCTCAAGGAGCCGAGGCTTTAAGCGCCTGTATTTCAAGACCAGAAGCAAGGTTATCGTCTTTTATGACTGGTGAAGCCGTCTCAGAAATAAACTCTATCCCGGAGTCTTTGGCTTAGACATGGGATGTAGACAAAGGAAACTGAAGTGCCAAGAAACCCTTCAACCAAACAGCAAAGAAAGATGTTTAATGTTACTAACAAAAGCAATTACTTAACTTCAGTAAGTCTCAATAGTTTCTCTGACACCGAAGGATTTAGAAGCTGGAGTTGATTCTGACTCAGAGACTGAAAGAGGCTCCAGACTTTTGGGAATCTGAAGGAAAAAGGCTGAATCTTTTCTCCAACCTTTGTATCAGTCAGGTTCTGGTGGGCTGAAATCACGCGGTTTCGCCCTATTTTACAAAGCACAGCTGTTATTATGTCCCGCATATAAAGTAGTTCACGATCCCTCTGTGGGTTGTGTCGTCCACAGCTGGGACCCCTGAGTACCTAATTATGAACAGGTTTCCGAGGTGAGTCCACAACTATTGCCTTATCACACCAGATCGCTCTTAAAAGATTCAATTATTTGGCTATAATTGCACCTGTCAGCACATGCTGCCTCCAATCTCTACATCGGCAAACTTTTCTCTTTTTAACTCGCATCCCTTTGATGCATTTTCGCCTGAATAATGCTTTCAGAAGCCTTTACACAAAAGCGCTCTGTTCACTGGAAATGTAGGACCTTTCAAAACTGTTAACACTGTAAAACATCATGTCTCCTTTTGAGGAAAAAAAAAAAAGAAAGAAAGAAAGAAAAAGAAAAGCTAGAGCTGATATCAGACTCTAAACTTTTGCTGCTCTAAATTGGAATCTTTTCTGATAAGCCCTGTTAGGAGGATTTTAAAGCCTGCTGAAATGGGCCCACAGAAGGACCTGGGCAAAATGCCTGCGGGGAAATCTTAAATCATTCTAAGAAAGTTGCGATCATCTTGCTGTGGGGAAATAAGGGTCCTGGTTGTTAAGTTCACATTCAAAATGAGTCTGGCATTTTTTCTCCTCTTATCAGTTTTCAAAGCTGACTCCTCACGCTACATGTTGAACAACTCCGTTTTATTT